TTTACCTACCACATATATTTCTGTATATAAATGTCTTGTATATAAACCACTGTTAAATGTCTAAGCCTCTGTGTGCTGTGTTTTGCTCCTGGGTTGTCTCATAACCCTGCAGTCACGTTGCAAACATTCTGACAAACTTGTACAAAGAATCTTTATCATCATCTTTCTTCCTTTAAAACTTTATTGAAATTTCATAAGAAGATTGAAGATGCTGTCTTCATGTGTTTGAAGTATAACATTGTTCATAGGTTTGAAAGTTGACATCCTTTTCTGATGCTAATTAGCTGGTCTCTGCTAGTTCATTATTTTCATCTGATTTGCTTTTTTATTATTATTATTTGTCTCATTACAGATTTGGTCGGAAGCATGTGCTGTTTGTAACGATGGGGATCCAGACTATTTTTAGCTTTTTCCAGGTCTTCTCAACAAGCTGGGAGATGTTTTCTATTCTCTTTGTTTTTGTTGGAATGGGTCAAATATCTAATTATGTGGCAGCCTTTGTTCTTGGTATGTGATTGTCTTTATGCAAACAGACCTTCTCAATAGCCTGACTCGCTAGCTCAGTGAGGGGCATCTTTAATTTCTTTCTGTCTTCTCCACAGCAGTATTTCCAACATTATCAAGCAGAACATAATTTAAAAATGGATCTGATAAAAGTAGAACTGGTAACCAACTTCTTGTTTAAAACTTGCGTTCAATATGTATGTTTATTGTATATTGTATTGTTCAACTGGAATAAGCATCTGATTTGAGATATCCTTTCAACTCTTCTAATATTTTGTTCATGATCTGTCCCTTCTTATATATTCTGCTCTATATTAAGGGCAAGATCCCCAAGTTGGTGACCATGCACTATCCTTCCTGCAAGGGCATTAACAACATTCAGCGTATGTCAGCTGGAGGGAGCAGTTTTATTCCTCACTAATGATCCTGATTATTGCAATACACTTGCCAATTGGTGAGCTTCTCACCTTTCTCCAGTCATTTTTCAGCAATGGTAGATTATTTCTCCTTATTTAATATTACAATTTTTTAACAGTTTGCTCAGTGGTTTTACAGGAAAGGAGAAATTTTTCTCCTATTGGAAAATGCTTTTTATCTTTGTGATTCAATCTCCTCTCTGTCTCTTTCCTATGAATGTGTTTGTAGGTGTGCACCTGAGCCTCCTTTCTTCCTCTATTTCCATGTCTGAATCTTTCCGAAGAGTGTGTTAATTTCTCTAAAAATGTCTTACCCTTTCTTTATTTGTCCCTATATAAGTGTGTGAGTGCATCTATCTGTGGGAAAACATGTTTCAAATCCAGCACTGGTATCATCAATATATCTGTCAACAACTGCTTAAAGGACCTTTTCTTGGGCTTATGCAGTAGCTGTGCAGGTTCTGGAGAATCTGTATTTAGTTAAGACAGTGATAGCTTGGTGGTAATGCATGCTCACACCTTGCTATCACTGCATACAGGACACTCCATCTGAACAAAAAATGCAGAGTTTTCTGTGCACCTATAAAACAAACTACAAGGTATCTATTAAGTATCAAAACGGAAAGTGAGCAAGTAAAGGAGACAATAAATAATAGTATGGGCTAAATTTTTTGGTTATACAATGGAGTTGGATAAATGGCAGAAACTGTGGGACAGGAATTATAAATTAACGATATCAGCTGCATATTAAAAAATCTTTATAAAATGTTTTATATATGGCACTTTTCAACCACAAAGTTGGCAAAGATGTTTAAGGACATGTCCACTAAACGTTGGAAATGTCATCAGATACCTGGTTCATATTATCATATGTGATGGACATGCCCAAAAGCAAAAAAATATTGGACAAAAATACTTACATGGTTGGAAAAAGGATAAAGCAACATATAGATTTAAAACCAGAAATATTTCTGTTGGCATTTTACCAGATAAGTATAATAAGGGAATACATATTTGATTTTACATGTATTAACTACAGCTAGAATTGTATTTGCACAACAATGGAAAAGAGAAGAGATCCCTATAGATGAAAATGTGATTTAAAAAAATACTAGAATGTGCAGAAATGGATAGACTAACACTTAGAATTAAGGAAAAGGAAGAAACAATACTTTTTGACATGGGACTTATTTTATCAATGGTTAGCTTATAAAAACAGAAGTTAGAAACATGTAGATGAAAGAAAAGGACTAATCATATAAATCATATAAAGGAGGTTTGTTAAAATGGAAATGCAACTGTATTATTATTATTACTATTATTACTATTATCATCATCGTCTCCTACTCATCAAACATGAAACTCGGTCAACTGAACATTTAAAAATGTAACACAAATATCATTGACTGGCTCTGATGGTTGATACGGGTTGCTGGCAGCATCCTAGGTATCAACCAAGTATTTTCTTAAAATGTACAATGTTCCGAGTAGTGCAGTTTTTTGCAGTTCCACTGCTGTTATTGCAGGAAGGTGCAATTTCTTGATGTATTTTATAAAATTCTTGGACATGGTACCAAGTACCCAGGTGACAATGGGTATCACTGTTACATGTTTCATCCATAATCGCGATATTTTGTGATTCCCCCCCCCCAGTTATTATTAATTGTACAGTCAGCCAGATGTTCAGACTGGGTTTGGCATTTTTGTCTACCTCTTGAGTCCTTACCAAGGACCTGGGATAGGTAAATCTGGATGTTAGATGGTGTTACAGGTATCGCCGCAGGATGGAAGCTGTTCCAAGTAAAGCTGCCTTCTGCAATTGACTGACTGCAAATTTGTCAATGCCTATGGTGTTCAAGTGGTGCTCCATTTGTTTTGGGACTGCACCCAAGGTGCCTATTACTATTACCTTGCTTCCCTTTGCCATAGGCGTTCTATTTTTATTTGTAGGTCTTTGTATTTTGTTATCGTCTCCAGTTCTTTCTCTTCTATTCTGCTGTCTCCAGGCACAGCCACATCCACTATCCAGATTTTTTTGTCTTTACCAACAACTGTTAAGTTTGGGGTGTTATGTGGCAGGTGCCTGTCTGTCTGGATTCTGAAGTTCCAGAGCAATTTAACTTTTTCATTTTCTATGACTTTTTCTATTTTATGGTCCCACCAGTTCTTGCTTACAGGCAAATGGTATTTCTTGCAGATCTTCCAGTGCACCATTGTTGCTACTTTGTCATGCAGCTGCTTGTAGTCAGTTTGTGCAATCTTCTTGCAGCAGCTTACCAGGTGGTCCACTGTTTCTTCAGCTTCTTTGAATAGGCGGCACTTACTGTCTGTTCCTGTCTTCTCAATTCGGGCTTTGTATACATTTGTCCTTAAGGCTTGGTCTTGCATAGCCAGAATTAATCCCTTGGTTTCACTTTCCTGCTCTTAGCCATTGCAAGGTCTTGTTATTATCTGCTTTCCCTGCTATTTTTTTAAATGTACTGGCCATGTAGTGCTGTCTTCCCATGCCTCTGTTCTGTTCTTCATTTGGTCTTTGTTGTAGGCCAGTTTGGTCTCTCTGGTAGTCAGCAAGCCTTCTTGGCATATTAACTTCAGTGCATCTTCTTCATTGTCCTTCAGATATTCTTCCAAAGCCCTTTTTTCTTCTTCAACTATCTGGTGTACTTGCAACATTCCATGCCAACCTATTTGCCTTGGTAGGTAGAGTCTGTCAATGTCACTGCGAGGATGAAGGACATGATTCATTGTCATTATTTTTCTGGTCTTCCTATCCATTGCTTTTAATTCTGTTTGAATCCAGTTCACTGTGCCAGCTGTGTATCTAATAACTGGTATTGCCCAGGTGTTGATTGTCTTGATGGTATTTTCTCCATTAAGTTTGGACTGTAAGATCTTTTTCACCCTCAATGTATTCACCTCTAATTTTTTTTCTTGACTTCAGTGTGCTTGTCACACTTGTTGTCAGCTTGAAAGATACCCAGGTATTTGTAGTAATCATCTTCATCCAGACTCTTAATGTTATTTTCATGGGGCATCTTAATTCTTTCAGTTTTCACTATTTTTCCTTGTTTGATAGTGAATTATTATTATTATGACAGTATACACAGCAAACGAGATAACTATGCTGGGTTTCGTATCACAAATCACTAGTTGAACAAGTGTTGTTGTTGTTATTAAACTAAATCAATGTAATGAATATTGTTTTAAACATTGTGATTATTATTTTCTAAAAATATTTGTACCCAGACAACACACTGTTTAATTAAAAATGGAATCTTTATATGTTATAAAATAAAACAAAAAATATATTAAAAAAATACAAACTACAGAAAAGTCGCACCCTAGAGCAAGAGTGTCCAGGCTGGCTCCAAAGTACCAGTTCAGAACTGATTCTGCATTCCTTCAAGTAGGAATGGTTGACATACAGGTAGTCCTCGACTTACAACAGTTCATTTAATGACTGTTCAAAGTTACAATCGGCACTGAAAAAAGTGACTTATGACCATTTTTCACACTTACGATCGTTGCAGCATCCCCATGGTCACATGATTTACATTCGGATGCTTGACAATTGACTCACATTTATGACAGTTGCAGTGTCCCAGACTCATGTGATCTCCTTTTGCGACCTTCTGACAAAGTCAATGAAAAAAACAGATTCACTTAACAACCATGTTACTAATTTAAGACCTGCAATGATTCACTTATACAAATGGGGCAAGAAAAGCCGTAAACTGGGGCAAAACTCACTTAACAAATTTTTCACTTAGCGACATGTAGGCTCAGCTGTGGTTGTAAGTTGACTACTACCTGCATACAAACTCACAGAAAAAACAACAATTCAATGTATTTTTATCAGTTTTTCCCATATAGTACATAAAATAATTGGTTTGTATAGTAGCATGTGAATTCATTCATTCTCCCTTGTTTGAACAGGTGCAGAAATTCTTGGCAAATCCATCCGCATTATATATGGCACATTAGGTGTCTGCATATTTTATGCATTTGGCTACATGATGCTGCCGCTGGGTGCTTACTTCATTCGAGACTGGCGATTGCTGTTAATGGCTCTTACTATTCCTGGGCTGTTATATTTTCCATTGTGGTGGTGAGTGTTTACTATTTTGAAGTCCCCATTGCCCTTCCCAATTAATGGCAACTAATACCCTTTGTGTTAATTGTGATAATTGACATAATTAAGATTGAATAGTACTAGCTAATCTTGATAATTGGTTTTTGAATTATTAATAAGAAATAGTAGTACTAAGCGATAATTTTGCTACTTATTTGCTAATAAGTAACCTGTTTAAAAAAATAGCTAAATTGGACTAGATTCCCAAGGAAACAAAAATAAGTTAACCTCTTAGGTAGAGGTGGTATTCAGCAGGTTCTGACCAGTTCTGGAGAACCAGTAGCGGAAATTTTGAGTAGTTCAGAGAACCGACAAATCTCTGACTGGAGATTTTACTGTATCCTTCTCCTGCCACAACCACCAAGTAAAAAAATTTGAATCCCACCACTGCTCTTTGGGTTACATTGTTAAGAAAGATTTAGGATTTGAATGCAATGCAAATGAATGCAATTGTGCAATGAAGAACATTACTGCATTACATTTCTGACCCATTCCCCTAAAGTTTCAGAGGAAGAAAAAGACCCACAAGAGAGAATGGCTTGGGAAATGTGCATTTCTCTCAAATTTGGTCTTGTACAGTCTGGAATTCATCCAGATTTGGTTCATGCTCACCTTATTAGAAAGGACTTAGTAGCATATTTTATAATAATAAGCCATAGTCATTATCCAGGATATTCAGTCCTCATTCACTGCATATTTTTAAAGTATAAAAATCTTGCTGAAATACTGTATTTTCTGATATACAGTTCATTTTTATGATCCATCTAGTAATAAAACAGTTCTGCATTAAATTTTTGTATCTAATAATAACCTTTGTATTAATATATTTCTACACTATACTGGTTGATGACACAAAAAAATAAAACATAGGATTTATTTTGAAATTCAAATACAACTGTGGGGACACTGCAACTCCCCCTACCCATATGTCTTTTCCCTCCTATCTCAGCCCCCCTCACCCGTCCCGCCAGCACTCATAAAGCTGCTGTGACACAGGAGGCCTCGCTCCACCACATCCAGAAGGTGTAAGCCCTTTCCTTGCCCCACCAGATCCAGGTCCACTTACTTTTGTCTTTCTGTGCAGCTGCTAAGAGGTGTGCCAACCTCCAAGATGTGAGGTTCAGACACACAGCTAACAAACACAATGTTCTGAAGGATAGAAAGAGGATTCTTCTACCAGTCAGAATAATCACGATAAGAGTGCCATCTCTCATGATGTTTTTTGGCTAGAAAGCTAGCAAATGCAATATTTCTGAAGGGTAGAAAGGCTAGCACAGGCAGACGAAGGCCTGTGGTAGACTGGAGAAAGGAAGCTCAGATCTTTGAGATCTGAGCTTGATTTCTCTGGCCCGCCATAGATGTTCCCTTGCCCTCATGGAGGGGAGCTGCCTACCCTCTTTCAGCTGACAGTTCTTCCACTCCATCTGCTAACGGCCCATGCTATTGCTTAATGACCACAACTGAGAGAGTGAGGATTGTGATCATTGAGCAAAGCAGTCATGTGGGCCTCTCAATTAAATCACAACAACAACTTAACAGCCAAAATTCAAGGTCCAATTGTGGTTGTATGTTGAGGACTACCTATATAATGAATTGGAAACTAACCAAATGGGTCCACTTACCCAACTTTTCTTAAAAAAACTATGCTGTAAATGCATTGTATGTTGTAACTAATTAACTAAGCATGTTCTGTGAATACAGATTTGAATGGCCTTTTGAGATCTCTTGCAGTTCTATGATTTTATATTGTTTATTATTTGGCAGTAATCTGATGTAGGAAGATATATTGTAATAATGTTTATTCAGCGGGATCTTCAATCTGATTCTCCTGAGTTTAAAGTTAATTCCAAAAAACAGTATTAAAAAAAATAGAAAAAAGCTATTGTGTAAGAATTCTGCCATTAAATAATTGTGTGGACAATTTATTAAAAGCATATAAAATATTACACCACAAGATGGTGCCACCGCACTCTTAAAAATTGGAGAAGATACACCAAGCTATCAAATACTTCTAAAGTCCTACGCCCCCGTCCCAAATTTTGAGATATCTGTTAGTCCATAGTTATTTTATTTCTAGAAAAAGCTTAAATATATTTAGCCACTCCATCTCAAATGCTTGGATGCAGCTAATTCCATCAATCAGAGCCAAGGTGTGTTGGAGAAGTGTTCCTACAGGCCTGATCAGAGTTTCTATTATTATATTAGCCTTTCCTCAGAGAACTCATTTTTTTTCCAAACTCACAAATGTAACATTTCCATCACATCACCTTTAAAATTAGGAACAAGTCATGCTGTGTTACATGAACTCCTGTTTCTTTACTTTCGTTGCTGTTCTTGCCCACTGTGTATGGTGGGTCATTTTCATGTCTTTGAAAGCTTTCCGGATTATAGTCTGATGTAAACCAGAAAAATCACATTTTCAGACATTTGTAAAATAACAAATTATCTTATTGGGATAAAGGAAAACCTCCACATTACAGCATCTCTGCATTTTTCAAGCCTAATTAGCAAATCAGCAAAGCAATCAAGTTACGTTTTATAAGAAAAAAGAAAAGTCAGTAGAAGAGGCATCCTGGTTATCCTTCTCTTCCCTATTCTCCATTAAGGACAGCTAGTCCTTTCAGTAATTTTTGGACCAGAAAAGGGATTGTTGACATTGTGGGAAAACTTCCTGGATGCCCAGTTAACCAGTTTTCGCTGGCAGTCAAAACTGAAATAGCCCCAGTGGCACAGAGCCTTGTTGCTGGATAGAATCCTTCATTGAGCCCACTCAGAAGAGGACTTAATGCAGTTGCTAATGAAAAATAACTAGTTTCCTTCCAGGTCATCTTGATGCAGCCTCAGCCTCCCTCAGCGGCAGACCAGCCTGAAGATGGAGTTCTGATGTGAGGGTATATACATTTTTAACCCAAGCATTCATAGCTGACTAAAGGCTTTCTTAAGGGACATCTTTTTTCCTGAAATCCCTGGACGCATGCAAACCCAAACAGGATCTGTTGGAAAGAATTGATACCATTGAAACCATAGTAGCATCCCTGGACGCCGTAAAAGAAAGAATATCCAACCTTGAAAAAAAAGAAACAACGCAAAAACCTGAACTTCCAATAGCTACAAACCACATCTCTACCCAACAACCACAACCCAATCCAAAACCCAATCCACAAATAAACACAACCCAGACAAATATTGATATCCCAATCCTCATCAGAGAAGCTGTTGAGCGTGAACGGAAACGTCCAAACGCCATCTTATTTGGTCTAGAGGTCACCAATAACAATGATGACATCACAACTGTCCGAAACATCATCAGGGATTATCAAGCATCAACCATCTCCGCTGATGAAATACTTGACATTTCACGCATTGGCCGAGAGCTCAATAACAGTGACGGCTCTGTAGCCCCACGCCTGTGCAGAGTCATTTGCAAAAATGAATCAAGCAAACGTAAATTCATTTATACTATAAACTCACTCGCCAAAACCAACACCAACCATAAGAACCTCCGTTGCCGCCCTGACCTAACCATACAGCAACGTGCCCGCTCCCGTGTACTCCGCATTGAACTCAAAAACCGTCTAGACAATGGAGAGAAGGACCTGTACATTGACTACCATGCTGACTGTATCAAAAGTAAGCCACGCAACCCAATACTCAGCTTTTACCCTCAACCACAACCCTACCTCAACCGATCCACCATCACCCAAGACTAGGCACGCACGCCCCCAACTACCTCAATTCCAACTACTGCCGGCCTTAAATGCAAACTACTCAATGCAAGAAGCCTCGTGAATAAAATACCTGAATTTCTCATCCTCCTAAATATGGCTAACTTTGACATTATATTTGTCTGTGAAACATGGCTCAATGCATCTCTCCCCGACTCCATTACCACAGTAAGAGACTATCATGTTTACCGATCAGATCGTGAAAATCGTCGAGGAGGTGGTGTTGCTATCTTCTATAAAAAATCCTTACATCTAAAAAATATCCAAGTTACCCAGGAGCTTGCTCTTCCTGAGACCATCATCTGTGAACTATCCTTAAATATCACAATTCGATTCTTACTATGTTACAGAGCACCTGATTATGACATCGAACATGTAAACAAGCTAAATACATTACTAACATGGGCTGCATCCTGCCCATACCCTTTTATCTTTCTTGGTGATTTCAATCTACCTCATATTGACTGGACCCTAAATGATTGTACAACTGAAATCATACACACAACCTTCTACAATGCTATTACAAATCTGGGACTGGAACAACTAGTAACCAACAACACTAGACTAAACAACTGCCTCGATCTCATCTTCTGCAATAGTTTGAATTTAATTTACGTAATACAAACTAAAGAACACTTTTCCAGTAGTGACGACAATATGATTGACTTTTGTCTCAACATACGTCCACACAAAAATCACCACAATGATGTAATCCCCAATTGTAACTTCAAAAAAGGCAATTATGATCTTATACACAACGATCTCTCATCCCTTGATTGGCAATCTCTATTCACTGGATGCAATACTGTTGAAGACCATTACAACATATTTTTACTTGAAGTCAAAAGAGTCATCAAACTATATGTACCAACAACAACTCCCAAAACAAAACAAAAAAGCAGATTACCCATATCAATAAGGAAACTTCAATCCAAAAAGAGATCACTCTGGCGGAAAAACAAATCTGGTCACATTGCCAATTTCAAAAACCGATACAAAAATTTATGCCACCAGATAAAGACCGAATGCACCAACTATCACATTAAACAAGAGGAAAACCTTCTAAGCGTCACCTGTAAAGTCATGGAATCAATTATTAACCAATCCATCATCCTTCACTTAGAGACAAATAACCTACTCTCCAATAAACAATTTGGTTTCAGAAAAAAACTATCCTGTAATCTGCAACTTTTACACTGCAAAAACATATGGACGACACAACTCGACCAGGGCAAAGCAATAGACGCAATCTACATAGACTTCTGTAAAGCCTTTGATTCAGTGGTACACGACAAACTAATCCTAAAAATAAAATCCTATGGTATCTCTGGACAACTGAATAACTGGATAGAAGCATTCCTGTCAAACAGACAACAAATGGTCAAAATCGGGAGCGTACTATCAAATCCAGTACCTGTCAATAGTGGTGTTCCCCAAGGCAGTGTTCTAGGACCAACTCTCTTCATACTCTACATAAACGACCTCTGTGATCATATTAAGAGCAATTGCGTTCTCTTCGCTGATGATGTAAAGCTGTTCAATACCACAGACAATACTGCTACCCTACAAAAAGATCTTGACTATGTATCAGAGTGGTCAAACAAATGGCAACTTCAAATCTCAACAAATAAATGCTCTGTCTTACATATTGGCAAAAAAAATCAGAAAATAAAATACAAGCTGAATAGTCAAGATCTTGTTGATGACTCAAGCTCTGTAAAGGACCTTGGAATACTCACCTCTAATGATCTAAGTGCTAGAGCCCACTGCAACTACATAGCCAAAAAGGCATTAAGAGTTGTTAACCTAATCCTACGTAGCTTTTTCTCTGGTAATATCACACTACTAACCAGAGCATACAAAACATTTGCTAGACCAATACTCGAATACAGTTCATCAGTCTGGAACCCACACTACGTATCTGATATTAGCACAATTGAGAAAGTCCAGAAATATTTCACAAGAAGAGTTCTCCACTCCTCTACTCGTTGTAGAATACCTTATGCCACCAGACTTGAAATTCTAGAACTAGAAAACCTTGAATTACGCCGTCTTCGGTCTGACTTAAGCATGGTATATAAAATCATACATTGCAATGTCCTACCTGTCAATGAATACTTCAGCTTCAACCATAACAACACAAGAGCACACAATAGATACAAACTCAAAGTAAACCGCACCAAACTTGATTGCAGGAAATACGACTTCAGCAATAGAGTGGTCAATGTCTGGAATACTCTACCCGACTCTGTAGTTTCTTCCCCAAACCCCAAAAACTTTAACCTTAGACTGTCTACTATTGACCTCACCCCTTTCCTAAGAGGCCTGTAGGGGGCGTGCATAAGCGCACCAACGTGCCTACCGTCCCTGTCCTATTGTTTCTCTTATTATTTTATTTTTCTTATATGTACCCATTTCATGTATTCACAACTATGTATACATTTATACTTATTATCTTGTAAACAATTGGCAAATCAAATAAATAAATAAATAAATAGTATTTGCTTGATAACGTGGTAAAAATATTTGATGATTGTGATGACCCAGGGGGAATACAAAAGCAACAAAGTCACAAAAACAGGTGAAGTCCCTTTAATTCCTTCAACTTGGCTTCAAAGCTCCAATTATCATTGACTGGAGAAAAAAATTCCCCCACAAACAGTTGGGAAAAGGAAGAAATGCCATTCAAACTCAATATATCTATAAATTATAAATAGAAAAAAACAACACAAACCATACTGAAGCAATTAGGGAGACAAGGAAGGATTAGGGCTTGAAGACGTCCACAGATATTGAAATACACACACTGGGAAGGACACCAGCACTCAGATAAGCAATGAAAGACTAAAATTATTTCACGCTTTGCTTCCAGCACTGGGCCATGTGCAATTTGTCCTTTTAAATAGTCCTTAACAGCTGCAGCCCATGAAGGGGATCAGGGCCCCTTCCTCACCTGTAGACCACACCATTCATGTTTCTCCCTTATTCTCTCCTCCATGCATGCCCTAGGATGAAGATGGGGGATGGGCCTGGGTCTTCCTCTGACTGCCCAGCCGGCCTGTGCCCTTCCCCAGCTTCCTCCACAACCTCCAGAGCCACACTTCCATTCCCTGTTGGCTGTTCCTCCTCTTCCTCGGAGTCAGACTCCAACAGAAGCATGACAGATATGTGTATCATATCAGGTTTGCAATTCTAGTTATTCTATTGACATCGTATTAAAATACTTGCAGGTACATTCCAGAATCTCCTCGCTGGCTACTGTCTCAAGGAAGGATTAAAGAAGCAGAGGATATCATTCGTAAAGCTGCAGAAAGGAACCATGTTGAAGCCCCCGAAGTAATATTTGATCTTGCTGAGGTAATCATATATATTGAATCTGTGAATTAATTTATTGCTACGCTCCTGTGCTTGGAGAAAAATAACATGAATTAAAATATTCTGTCCTTTAAGTCCAAAGTCTTCCAGACCCTTTTAATGAAATTGTTGGTTTTTGATTCTTATGTGAAAATTACTCGACGCCATTTTTTATAATTTTGCAGCAGTTTACTTAGCATACTGTATTTTTCAAATAAGTATTATTTGCAGGTTATCTGCTTATAAGCCAACAGGTGTCATTTGATTCTCATACGCATGTATTATTTTATATAGCTGCAAGATTTGAATGCCCAAGTTCAGCAGTCCTGCAGCATTTTGGACCTAGTGAGAACCCAAAATATACGAACAATCACTATCATGTCTGTGATTCTATGGTAAGCAACTGATCAACTGATTCCTAAAAAATTTCCAAAGTCCAGAAACCAGAATTCAAAAAGTCAATTGGAATTACTCTTATTTACTTACAGATAAATAAAGGCATGGGGCACTTCTTAGACTTGCTCATGGAAATCTATGTATCAGTCTAAATCTTAACTTTTATTAGTCCAAGTACCATTGTTTTTGAAAATTAGCTTTCAAAATATCACCTGCTCTAGAGATTTTATGTCTCTGTCTAATATGACTATGTCAGTCTCAAATGATTTCCTAGTTGAACTGTTTCCAGGAACAAATTTAAATTCTCCACAAGCCAATTATTATATCAGTCTGTCTTGATTAGCTAGTTATGGGTATTCTGAATGACTTGGAACTTGAAAGAACACTAAAGCACTCATTCTGCCACTTTTTGCAGTTGCACTATTTCAGTAAATTGTAAATGTGACTGGCCTCTAGAAATCACCTTATTCTGTTGTTCATGTAATGCCCACAACCTTCCATTTTATACCTCAGCTGACATTTAGGCTAAGGATTTCTTGTAGATATAGATCTATGTGTAATTACTGTTATTTATTTGTGCTGATTTATGACTGTAATAATGATTTATATTAACACACACACATGCACATACACACACACACACCTCAATTTATGTTATCTTTTCTCAAAAGTTATACATATCCAATACTCTGTTGTGTGCTCATCTTGGATTTTATGCATGACAAAGGGAGAAAGGTAGTCTTCTATTCTGTATGAATGGAGCACAGCCCTGGAAAGAAATTTTAAGAATAGTTGCTCTCTGAAATTTACTGGCAATTGTTTTGCCAATTATAAAAAAACAGCATCAACAGTCTAAAGTAAAGAATACAAGTGCATAAATGGAAAATTGCCTCATAGTGTGTAACATAATAAATATCCTGTCATTTCAACACTAATAGAGATGCAGATAGTTCTCACTTAACAATTATTATAATAATTAATATAATAATAATGGGACTGGCAATTCTGTCACCAAGTGATACAGTCACTATCAAAACATCACATGACCACAACAGACTTACAACCTCTCTTCCCCTGTGATCATTAAGCAAATCACTTATGGTCGTTGGGTGAGAAATCATGTGGGCATGACTTGCAATTTCACTGCTGGCTTTTTCATTGACTCTGCTTTTTGGAAGCTGGCTGTGAAGTGCATAAAGATAATTTGATGTGGCCATAGGGCACTGGAACAGTCTTAAATATCCATTGGTTGCACAGTCTACCTGTACGGCACAGCTCAAATCCCATGCAGAATAGTATCGTTGCCCCTATATCCTTATTGTCACCTAGATCTGTCTTTCAGGATGGTGATTTCCATAGGCTACTTTGGAATCTCTCTGGATACCCCTAACTTGCATGGAGACATCTACCTCAATTGTTTCCTTTCAGCAGTAATTGAAGTTCCAGCTTATACTATCTCTTGGCTGCTCCTTCAGCATCTGCCCCGGCGTTATTCAATGGCAGGAGTCTTGTTCTTAGGAGGCTGTGTTCTTCTTTTCATTCAGTTCGTGCCTGCACGTAAGGCTGTTTTCCTTGACACTTGATAGGTGTAACCCATGGGGATAGCCAACTAAGGTGTTTGTTTTTTTTAAAGCAGTATTCCATAATAATGCTATGATACACAGAAATATATTGCAGATCTATTTCATTTTGTGTTCATCTTGTTTCTCTAGTGATATAAAATGATGTGCTATAATTCTGATTATTTGTTCTTTACTGTAGTGGCAATTGAATAATATGTTAGATTTTCATCTGATGTACCACTTCACAATTAGAAAAAATATATAATAGAAAATCTACTTCAGTAGATGTATCTGGTAAAGTAGATTCTTGCCTGAAGCAAAACAAAATAGTTATATACTGTAGTTATAATAAAATACAGGTATTCCTCATTAACTATCAATAGTTGGGACTGATAACCCCATTACTAAGATAAATGACTATTAAGTGGAAAATCACATGACCATGACTGTGTTTTCCTTTTCCCCATTCCCGCACCTTTCCTTCCTTTTCCCCATTCCCCCCCTCTCCTCCCACTCTACCCACAGCGCTGAGATAGTTGGCTAAAAGCTTATCAGTTTCTGGCTTAAACTAATGAGACTCCTAATCACTGCTCCTCTTGAATGGTCACTTGGGCACTGGGATAATTAACAATAAGGGAATTAATGTTTTATTTCCATTCATTGGAGAAAAAGATATTATAAGAGAGTAAGCAGGCACACGGAAAATACACACTGAAAGCAATGTGGTGGCACTGGCAACAGTGAGAATGCTCAGCAAACAGCCAGTATTTTCTTCACTGTGTGCCAGCTTTACTCCCTTGTAATCCTTTTCTCTCCAATCTCTGCTCTGCAGTGGATGGGGGAAAATAAAAACAACAGGTGAGGCACAGGGCAATGTGGACTGACTGTAATGGTGTTCATGTGATTGTGGCAATCGGGTTACTCGGGGACAGGCACCATCATAATTTTGAACGGTTGCTGAATGGGGCACTTAGTAAGTGAGGATTATCTACGGTATAAATGAAGAAGTGAAACAAAGGCAGGCTATTGTTTTATTGTTTTACTGGCAGTTTCAATTTCATTTTGTTTGGCTCTTGCTTATAGATCTCAGTGTTCTGGCCATCATCCTCATGATGATTGGAAAATTTGGGATCACAGCCTCCTTCTCAATGGTTTATGTGTACACTGCTGAGCTGTACCCAACTATTGTGAGAAACATGGGAATTGGAGCCAGTTCAATGGCCTCCAGAATTGGCAGCATCCTCTCACCTTATTTTGTGTATCTTGGTAAGTTGCCTGTTTTCTGTTAACTCGAGATCATATGCCCTGCTTTTTAGTATTACAGCAAACGGTTACTGGTCTCTGTTGTACACACTTATAACATGTTGTTGCTTGGAAAGATGTATAGAGATGGAGAAGCAGATCTCCAATTTCTGATCTTCATTTTGAGGAAGTCATGATCATCTTCCAGATCAGATCCAAATAAATCTATAAATATAAACCATACCTCAAAGCCACAATATTAGGAAATGTAAATTGTTAAGCAACTTAACAGGAATAACTCATTGCTACTTGTCCTTTCAACTAGGTGCCTATGATAGATTTCTTCCCTACATCTTAATGGGAAGTTTAACAGTGCTTGCAGGAATCCTGACCCTGTTTCTCCCGGAAACTTATGGAACTCCTCTCCCAGACACTATTGAACAGATGCTAAAAGTTAAAGGGTAAGGATGTTGCAGAGTAGAAATAGCAAAAATTCCACCTTATACTGTAGCAGATCATTTTGGAAAAGCATTTGAAATTTATTACAGAAAATACTAGAATATTGTAATATATTCCTACCATAAATATTATTAGGATATTTAAAAGAATGGCATAAAGAATAATATAATGGAAGAAATATTTGAGTTTAAATTCATGGAGTTATTGAGAATTAGCAGCATACAAGTTTAGCAAATTATAAATTATTAACATTTAAGAAATTATTATTAAATTCCTGGGGAACAGAGTTATGATATGCAAGAGAAATTCCAATTGTTCCTTTTCTAACTTTTTGAGACCAAATCATAGTTCTGTTAAATTAAAGCTATATAAAAATTTCCCAACAACGTTTTCAGTAGTTATTTATCCCAGATTGAAAGCATGGTTAGGTCTAAGTTCCTCGCAGCTGAAAAAGATGAGGTTAGTTGACATTTGGGTAAGCCATGTGTTTAAACATAACAAGCCAACCAAATATTTTTATTATGATCAAAGCATGCTCACTCGGTTCCTGAGTTTAACTATTCTGGGCTGATAGGTTTTTGTCAAGATCATCTCTGTCATCTTTTCCAAATCACTAAACCCAAAATGTCTAGGTAGTCTCCAGAAGTCTCTAGAAGGCTACTTTTATGTCATATGATAAGCCTATATAAACACCTTAGGTTTCCCAAGTGACACAGCCATAGACTTCCATAGAGGGGTGAAAATAGAGTTTAATGAAATTATACCACAGCACAATTTTACTTTTACTGTTTCAGCATGAATATTATAGGGATGAATATCTTTCTGATGTCATAATGCACACTGTATCATTTATGCCTTTGTGCACTGGTTGGTTTGAAGCTAGGCATGTAGAAACATTTACTGCATAGTAAAGAACAACCATATTTCTTAAATATGAAGCTGAAATATGCTTGAATTATTCTGGGGGATTATGTTATGAGAATGTCTTTTTTTCTGTTTCCTTTTTTACAGAATTAAAAATATAAAATCACAGAAACATCAAGATAGAACAGAGCATACAGAAGAGAATTCAGCTATTCTAAAGACCACAACATTCTGATGAAACTGCATTGTTCACAGTATTATACCTTGGACATTTCCTTTAATTTTCTTCCAGAAAAGACTAACCTACATACTTTTTTCCTAAGATGGGAAATATATTTATTAAAAATACAATCTATCCCAGTATGGGATATTTTTTTTGTCAGAAATTGCTTCATGGAACAGTGTTGGATGTAGAATTTTGTTCACTTTTAGGACACATCAACAACTATCCTTTTTGTGAGACTGCATTTTTAAAAGATTCTTCAAGGTACAAGTTAAGTGTCTTAACATCACTTTTTCCATACATACTGTCAAAAAATTAAATAGGTAATAGAGTTTGGATGTTGTCACTCCACCTTGAGAATCTACACCTTTTCTTGAGAGAAAAAATAAGCTTGAAATGATATAGAGGAAACTGGTAGAGTAGACCTTAAAATAATTATGCAAATGACTGAATGCAGTAAAAGGAGAAGAAATTGAAGCTGATTCTTTTTTATGAGCACATTTAATAGAAATAGAGAGACAAATGTTCTAATGCAAAACATTGGCAAATTAGTTTTGTTTGCAGAATTAAATTCTTTACTGCAGATTTAAATGATAGCTATATACAGTTGTTTATAGGGAATAATGTTTTGCCTTATTTAGACATGTTTATTTTTTTTATCAAAAATTGCATTTTTAACTCTTTCATTTTACTGTTCATTAAATTTCCTCTGATGCTAAAACACCTGCTCATCTGTATTTCCAATTTTTTTAGTTTTGTACTATTTGTGCTTAAAATAGATATACAGGTATGTAATAAAGATATTTTATAATGCAGAATGTATTAATTTAATGGGAATGTACCAATCTGGGTCCTTCAATTTACCTAATTGTTGCCCTTGGAATAAGCAGAAAACTATTTGAAATGAGTATCATGGCATTTATAAACAAGGTTGTTGATCACACAGTTGGAACAAATCTACACAAAAACATTAACCATAGATTCCAGGAACTATACATTGCATTTACATGCTTTTCTTTTAAATCAGGACTCTGGTTTGCATATTATATTATTAAAAGAATTAAATGATTTTTATGATGCATACTGCAATGAATTTTACACAGATTAAGAAATCGGTTGTAATATCAAGCTGTACTTTTGCTGTGATGATTTTTTTGGTTGCTTTAAAACTCTAGCAAAAGTGACACATAAATATATTGAAATATATAAATACTTTTGCTTCTAGTAGATACAGAGGATATAAATATTTCAAATAAATGTATGGAAGCATTGTAGATTGTCTGTACTCCAATTGCTACCCAATTCCTTGAACTTGCTGTTTTCCCAGTAAGAATATGCATAGCATCTTATCATGGCAGTAACTATTGTGCTAATTGTAAAGGAATCTCCTCGTTGAAGTTGTAGCACTATGCAGAACATGCTAAAACTACTTGCTTGATCTGACCTGTTTTGAAAACCTCGTAATGAAATCTTGCTCAGCAATACATGATAGGTTTTCAATATTATTATTCTAAAAGCCTTTTTTGCCTTAGTTTTCCTCAGAGACTATTGGATTTCATCTCTTCAACAAGTATCCTGCAATGTTCCTTTGAAAACCAGGTTGTCAGCCTTGTAGCTTGGCAGGCTACTAACAGGAGTCAAGAGAGTTTATAAAGAAAATAATAGCATACTCTTTTTAAAATATAGCAGAATATAAACTAACCTCTTGACAGATTCATGTGCTTAAAAACATTCCCAGGGTTGTAGCCTTTGTATGTGAAGCTGCATTTTGTCAGATGTTTTTTCTTCAAATCCTAAATAGTAATTCTAAAATGGTTTATTTATAAAATATTTCAATATTGGGATGTCACATTAATTCAAAATAAAAATGAATTTATTTCTTGGAAAAATGTGTTACTCTTTTGAAAATGTTTTCTACATCTCTCACATTTGCCCTAAACAAATAAACAAAAATCCCAAACTTGAAAACCTCATATGAGAGTTTCCCAAAGTTCTTGATAATTTTAATTGTTCTTTTCTGTATCATTTTTAGTGGCCAAGGAGCCAGAACTGTACAGAGTTTTCTAGATGCAATAACATTGTAAACATTACAATTTATGAATTTTATTCGTACCTTGGGATTTATATTTTTTACTGTGGTGGTGGATCCTGTACTAATACTGATTATGTTAATCTAGTCTAGGTAATATCTCCAAGAAAACAACCAAGCTCAGAGAGTACCAAGGATCCCTCATTTCAACCCTGAGTTACAAATATTCTCCTTCTCCACTATCATTTTCCATCAAACTTTATGGGTCACATTTTGTATCATGGGTGATTGAAGACAAACAAGCAAGACAAGTTATTTTCCCCCTATGGGTTCCAAGTGTACAGTGCTTGTTTTAAGTGTTAGTGGAGAATTCCAGGAAAAGGATGGAGGCCTGGAGCAAGACTGGTTTATCCAGAGGTTGCTAGCAGGCCATCTTCATGTATTGTGCAATGCTTAAGAGTTCTTTTCAGGACTCTGTGCAAAAGCACAGATTCTCCATCTGGTTTTGAGAGACCTTTTAAAAATGAGACTAGAAATGCAGGTATGGAAATATGGTATGATATGAAGATTGATTTTTATTTTAATAGTTGCCTTTGTGTAGAAAGTAGAATAAAATTTTTGCATTGTCAATGCCCTTTGTTGTAAATTACTATGGAAATGAATAATCTACATTCATGCAATAAACTTCTATGCAGATTAGTGCCTATAATGATGCAATTAAAGAGTTTCAATTGTAGTCAGCAGAGAATCAAGATAGCAAATAATAGCTTTGGCCCACCAAGAATTATTTCTACAAATACAGCTTCCTTCTTGATCTGAACAGTGTATCACAATATTAAAATTAGGTTCAGAGTTGCAGCTCAGATTAACCCAGGTTCCTCAAACGGTCACCTCTCTGTGAACACCTTTTTTACTTTCTCTTTCTAAACCCGGACATAAACCAGTGCAGAAATAAAAGAGAAAGCAATTGTAGTCTTGTTTTGATTTAGGAATCGGAGGCTTGCAGTTGACAGAATTGAATGTGGAAGAGAGTCAAATAGGAAAGATGTTGTTTTAAATATTTAGAAGTAATCAAATCTGCCAGTAACACCTGGATTAAGATTGCTAGTTGTTCCTGTTTCTTCTGCATTGACCATTGAAGGATATTTGAAGACTCCTGAAGAAAAGAAGCAATGCACTGGAGGTAACTTGATACTTTCGTGAAGAAACAAGTTGGAAACCATCTTGTAAAGTGCATGAAGAAACTCGGAAAAGATAAGTTGCTTAGACCCAGAAATAATGAAAAATAGAAAGGAGAGGAGAGGTCAAAGGGTAGGGACCTCTTTATTATAATGAAAAGGCTTTTATTTCCTTCCTGCTTTTCCCACCCTAATTTTGTTTGAGCCCAACCAATCTTTTTGTGAAACTGAGGAGTTGGCTTTCTGATTTTTAATTGACCCTGATCGCTAAAACTGAAACTTTGTCATCTGTATTTTTCATCTTGTAGATCTGAAATTAATTGTAAAGGAAGATGTTTGATGTATTGTTTTGGTAAACTAGTCCTCAGTTCTTTAGTCTACTTTTTATCTGCAGTGTTTTTGTGATAATAGACTGACAAAATGGTACAAATATTTTTATAAAAGACCGTTAGATACTTCTAACTCGTACAGATGATGTAGCTATGATTAATGTTTCCTTATCTATTTGGCTCTTGGGAGCAATGTGTTACAGAAAAATTTTCACTGTACATGTTTTCACTTACAGTGAAGAATGCAGGGGAAAGAGAAGCTTGTAAGTGGAAAATGTTGACATTTGTGTCACAACCGCCCAGAACAGATGTGAACAAGAATAGCCAGCCACTCTCCTCTTCTCTCCCTTTGCCCTGCTTTTATTTTGTTTTTTAAATACTCACAGAGCCTTCTGGAGACTACTTTTGGTTAGTGAAGGGACGAGGCAATTTGTTTCTTAATAAAAGCTCTGCTACTAACATATTTTCCATAAGCTAAAGCTGCTGCTACATTTTGATTAAAAAAAAAATCTCCTGTGCGTATGAGCATGCTGATGGAAAGCTCAGCCTTGATTATGTGTTGACCGCAAAGGAAGGATATCTCCTATATAGCTCAACTGTTCTGATGGGCTAGGTTAAAGTTCTCTTTCACAAATGTCAAATAATTCCTTCATACATTTTAAAAATATTATTGAAGAATGCCTTATAGCAGGGACCTCAGGGACCACTAAATCCATACTTTTAAATCTCACAGACCACTAATACGTGTTTTTTTTAAAAAAAAAGATAAATAGTATTTAGTGCAATATAAAAAATGCAAATAATTTTTCTGTGGACCACCAAAATTTTCTTGCTGGCTGTCAGTGGTCCGCGGTTGGTGACCACTGCCTTATAGCACTGCAATATGCCTTGAAACTACCAAGGACCTTATTTATGATTTTTTTTTCTTTAGAAAAAAGATATTGCATTATTATTGTTGCAGTTGGTGACACAGTAAAGCTACCTTTTGCAATTGAATGATGGTGATTTTGTCAATGCTGATGGTGTTCAAGAGATGCTGTAGCTGTTTTATTATTATTACTAATCAGCACATTTCTTAAAGGTCTAAAGAATATTGGGAATATAAGGGGCGGTTATCAACTTATATTGATTCGATTGAAACATCACAACAAACCATGATTTGCATTTAGAAATGCACAGGTTGTAGCTCCAAAGCCATATGCCACTTAATGAATATAGAGAAAAGTAAAGTCCTACACTTAGGTAAGAAAAACCAGAAGTAGACATATAGACTGGGTGAAACCAGGCTCAATAGCAGTAACTGTGAGAGTGATCTTGGAGTCTTAGTGCACAACCAGCTAAATATGAGCCAGCAGTGTGCAGCCGCCGCCAAAAAAGCTAATGCAATCCTAAATTGTACTAACAGAGGGATACAGTCAAGATCAAGGGAAGTACTAATGCCACTCTATAAAGCCTTAGTAAGACCACACCTAGAGTACTGCATCCAGTTTTGTTCACCACATTATAAAAAAGATGTTGAGACTCTAGAAAAAGTACAGAGAAGAGCAACCAGGATGATTAGGGGACTGGAGGCTAAAACATACAATGAACAATTGCAGGAACTGGGCTTGGCTAGTCTAGTAAAGAGAAAGACCAGGGGAGCCATGATAGCGATCTTCCAATATTTGAGGGGCTGCCACAGGGAGGAAGGGGTCAAGCTATTTTCTAAAGCGCCTGTAGGCCAGACAAGGAATAATGGATGGAAACTGAACAAGGAGAGATTTAAGCTGGAAATAAGGAGAAACTTTCTGACAATGAGAACAATCAACCAGTGGAGCACCTTGCCCTCAGAAGTTGTGGGAACACCATCACTTGAGACTTTCAAGAAGAGATTGGACTGCCATTTGTCAGAAATGGTGTAGGGTCTCCCGCTTGGGTGGGGCGTTGGACTAGATGACCTACAAGGTCCCTTCCAACTCTGATTATCTGTATCTGTATCT